TCCGCTCAGCTCCAGCTTTTGGTGAGACTCGGTACGTGGCACAGGTTTCAAAACTGAAAAATGGGGCGTTGTGTCTGCAAGCACATGCATGTCTTCGGTATCAACACTGGAACTGTCGACCAGAGATGAGCCGCGCATTTCCACTTCACCTGCAGATGTTCAACGCAGAGCCGCCTTCCTTTCCAGGCCTCTCCCGCAGGAAAGGCCTGCTGCTTGCTCTCACTCCGCACCTACCTCTCCGGACTGGCTGGCGGCGTTGGGTCTCCCGAGTGCTGAGCGATTGGCGCTCGCTGGCCGTACATTCCAGTGCGAGTCTGCCCCTCTGCTCACGCCTCCCCGGGGCGTGGAGGAGAGCTCTGCAGACAGAAGCAGTCAAAGCCTGGGCTCTGCAGGTGACTCCACGAAAACTACCAGTGGTTGATTTGTGTCCTCTGGTGCAAGAAAAATATGTTAGGAATGGGGTAAGGACAGTGGTCGCGTGTATGAAGTAGACATGATAGGCTAACTGATCACGGGATCCCTTTTAAAGAACAGATATTGACGTGTGACCAGCTAAGTCTTCAAGCTGGAGAACTTTGTGACCCTGGCTGTCAGTGAGGCTGATCTGAGGGTCCCCCCAGAACGAGGCTGATCTGAGGGCCCCCCTGAGAACGAGGCTGATCTGAGGGACCCCCCCCAAGAACGAGGCTGATCTGAGGGCCCCCCTGAGAACGAGGCTGATCTGAGGGCCCCCCCTGAGAACGAGGCTGATCTGAGGGCCCCCCAAGAATGAGGCTGATCTGAGGGACCCCTCCTGAGAACGAGGCTGATCTGAGGACCCCCCCAAGAACGAGGCTGATCTGAGGGCCCCCCCAAGAACGAGGCTGATCTGAGGGCCCCCCTGAGAACGAGGCTGATCTGAGGGACCCCCCCTGAGAACGAGGCTGATCTGAGGGCCCCCCCAAGAACGAGGCTGATCTGAGGACCCCCCCAAGAACGAGGCTGATCTGAGGGCCCCCCCTGAGAACAAGGCTGATCTGAGGGCCAAGGCCAGGGTGGAGGGAAAAGGATTGTCGGAGTGAAGGGGGAGCCTGGGAGGAGGAGCATGTGTCTGTGTGTGCATGTGCGTGCGTGTGTGTGCGTGTGCGCGCGTGTGTGCATGTGTGTGCATGTGCGTGCATTTGTGCGCACATGTGTATGTATGTGTGCGTGTGTGCATGCATGTGTGTGCGTGTGAATCTGAGGTCTGCTTGGCCTGCTCGGGACAAGTGGATTATTTCCCATGTCTGTGGCTCTTTTCTCTGAGTTTGACTTTTCTGCCCTTGGGAGCATTTCACCTGGACCAGCGGCTGATGTTTTCAGTCAAGGTGTCTCCTTTCTGTGGAGTACGGAAGGATCCGGGTCTTTTCCTTTGTGGCTCCTCTAGGTCTCGTGTTCTTTGGGTAAATAAGTAACGTCCAGCGTACTGAATACTTGCAGGACTCCTCAGCACCCTTCATCTTGCCTTATTTAGGACTCAGTTGGTTAATCGATGACCAGAAAGGGGTTCTTGGGATAGATGCAAATGTATTTATTTTACCACTTTGGGAAGCTGTTTAGTTAGGGTGTGAAGAAGGTTATGGGTGCAGGTCACTCACAGTCACGTAGACGCTTGCTGGGGCTGAGTTTGCCAGGAGACGCAGACACAGGGAGGGAGCTCGAAGCCTGGCACTGTCCTCCAGGGGGTCTCTGGGCCAAGAGAAACAGGATACTTGACCAGTTTTAAGATGAAAAGCTGTAAGTGCCTTAAGTTGATGCACAAAGTGCTTTTTCACTTGAAAAAAGAAAGAGCAATTACTCCTAAGAGAGATGAAGGAAGCTTTCATGATGTGAGGCACTTAAGCTGGGAATGGGGAGAGGTGGAACACATGGAAGTGGGTAAGACCACCATTGCGAGAGCAGCGAAGCAAGATGAAGAGCTGAGACAAGCCAGGGCGGACAGCGGGCCGGCAGTCGCTCAGCGCCGCGCTGGGCGCAGACGATGGTAACACAGCAGGCGCGTGGGATACAGAGTCACATGTCTTACTTCTTTCTTTTTTACAGCAGCTTCTATTTAGATGTAGTATTGCTCCCAGTTTTAGCAGGTAAAGAAATTGGGGAAGGGTGCATAAGGCTGGCCTGTCCAGGGCCTGCCTCTGATGACTAGCATAGAGTTCCTATGAAAACAGGCCTGGTCCTGAGAAGGTAAGACAGACAGACTGAACTCAGCCCAGGATGCTTGATTGCTCAAGAGCCTGAACCGTAGGCTGTACACACTCCACGGTTTGGTAAGCTATAGGGTTGGTCCGTGAGGTGTATTAGAACGCAGCATTGCCTGGCCGCGCGTGGGTTCTTCCGTGGCCGCTTCCGCACACCCGCGAGCATCCAGCCCGCAGGCCTCCAGTGCTGACTCCCCGGCCCAGGGTGGGCAGCGCTTGCTGCGTCCTGCTGCAGCTGACTGGGAGCCAGTGCCTGTGTGGGAGGAGGGCGGGGGAATCTCAGAGGTCTGCACGCTGTTGAGGCCGTCCTGATCCACGGGACGGAATGAGGGGAACCATTTGGGACGTGCAGTTATCTATTCTCCAGCCCCCTCACCCTGGGACCGTCCCAGCCACAGGGCCGACCCTGTGGGAGAGCAGAGACGGGGCTGTTCCTGCCCCAGCTGGTTACGGCTGCAGTGTTTTGTAAGACGTCGGGAAAGTTTAGGAAATGAGGAGCACCTTTGACGCTCTCTCTTATGTGGCAGGGAAATCACCGTCATATGTATACCATATTTCAACTTCTGGCTATGACTTTTAGAACCTGTATTCAGATGGTGCTTTGGTCAGTTGAACCTCGGGACTGTAGTGCTGGTTTGTTTTCAGGATGAACCTAATGTTATTACTGTAAAACCGTACTTGGGTATCACTCCATATGTTTAGATTGTAGCCAGTCACACATTACTTTTTGAAAAAATGTGAAAGGCAGCTGGGCGCCGGTGGCTCACGCCTGTAATCTAGCCACTCAGGAGGCTGAGATCTGAGGATGGCTGTTTGAAGCCAGTCCAGGCAAGAAGGTCTGTGAGACTTATCTCCAGTTAATCACAGAAAAAGCCAGGAGTGGCCCTGTGGCTCAAGTGACAGAGCACTAACTCACCTTGAGCAAAAGGAGTCTAGGGACAGTGCTCAGGCCCAAGGTTCAAGCCACGGAACCAGCAAAAAAGAAAAAAGTGGCAGACAGACTTGCTGTGTTGTCCATGCTGGTCCCAGACTCATGGGCTCAAGCATTTTCCTGCCCAAGCCTCTCAGTAGCTAAGACTACAGGCATGTGGCACCACACTCAGGTTGTGTAGTCTTGAAGAGTTCCTTATCTCCTGATGAAAGGTTGTCTGCTAGTGAATACATGTATGTGACAGGCGTGCTGGCTGTTACCCATATGTCAGTGATTCACCTCCTACCTTGACTTCACGAGGTTGATAGAGAAAGGCACTAAAATTTAGAAAATTGAACAAACTTACCCCCATATGGTGTGTGGGTGTGTGTGTGTGTGTGTGTCTAGTGTCAGTCGTGGGGCCTGAGCTCTGGGCCTGGGCGCTGTCCCTCAGCTCTTCAGCTCAAGGCTAGCGCTCTACCACTTGAGCCACAGCGCCACTTCCAGCTTTTTTGCTTATGTGGTGCTGAGGAATCGAACCCAGGGCCTCATGCACGCGAGGTGAACACGCTACCCCTGAGCCACCTTCCCAGCCCCGGCTGGTGTTCCTTATCTGTGCCGTATCACTTCCTGTTGCCCGAGTTCCTTGGGGAAGGAGCTGTGACCTCTGATGGATGACATTCGCAGGAGAGAAGACACAGTCTCTGAGATCAGAATCGCCCCACATGCGGTGTGCAGTCCACTCCTGGGAAGGGCTTGCAGGGGACGGGCTGTGGACCGGCGTCTGCCTCCCACCCCTCACCACCCACGTCCTCTGCCACCGCCCAGCAGTCATTGTCACATGCAAGACGTGGGTGGGAAAATCTCTGACAGGTGAGACCAGGATTCAGGGGTACAGAGGAACTGTTAGAGAAAACAAACCCAGAAATTAGTGCCCTCAAAGAGAGAGCAGAGCTGAGGGCTCCACGGGGCTGGGAAAGCACTGGTAGGAAGGGAAATCAGGCGGAGAGCAGCCAGGCGGAGGAGGCGCGAGCTCCCTTTCCATCCACCCCTGGCCTGCGTCCTGCGCTCTCCAGCCTGGACCGGACCCCGGCGTGTAGCCACAGCTGCGGCCACAGTTGGCAGGGTGGTGCCGACACGAGACCTGTGGCAGCCCTGAGACGCACCTGGCCTCGGGCAGCTTCGTGTATGTCCTCTTGAGTTCTATGAAACAGTCACCTTTGTCTGATGTTCTAGTGGCATGTTGGAGTGATTGGAACTAATTTCTACGTGTGGACAGCTGGGTTACTGAGAGATGGAGAGAGGGAAAAAGAGGGAGAAGAGAGGAGAGAGAGGGAGCGCTCCGAGCTTGACTCTGAACGAGCAGGTGCCGCGCAGACGGCCCTCCCGCACGGCGGCGGCGGCGGGAGCAGAGCCGCGGCGTTGTCCACACTCACGGTCCGCCACGGGCGTCCCAGGCAAGGAGACGCTCGCTTTGAGCCTTCACACCGAAGCAGAGTCTGCATCTGAAAAGCATAGTCCCACGCAGCGTAACATGGTGGCCAACAACATACCACGTGTACATTTAAAAATCCCAGGAGATGATCGCAGAGCTTGGAGGTTGCTGTCTTCTCTGTGGGATCGCGTGCCGGGGCACGCGTGCCGGTGGCTCTCGGAGCGCCGTGCCGCTCGGGCTGATGCTGGGCACCCACCCTCAGCGGTGGCCACTGCCAATGGCGTCTGACCCTGCGTGTCTTGGAACATCATCCTGTTGTTATGGGATACTTATTGTTCAGAAACGCTTGGATTTCCGATCATCCTGACTGCCTCCTTTTTCTTCTTTATTCCTCTTCTTGTCTTTGCACTCTCCCTTGCCCTACCTTGTTTCTGTTTAGATTGAAAATGGCTCAGGCATCAGTCAGCAAGTTGACAGCAGAGAAGAAAGTGGAGACCAAGAAGATCGACCCCGCCGCTAGCCTGGTAAGCTGCACCTTCCAACGTAGCCTCCAGGTCCCCACTGGAACTGGGTGTACCAAAAAGTGCGTCTGAATTTAAAGGGTAAAACTCAGAAGGAAAAGACGCAATAGTTGTGTTCCCAGTTCACATCCCACAATAGTTTATAGTTTTAAAAATGTGGGGCCGGGCGCCGGTGGTTCACGCCTGCCATCCCAGCTACTCGGGAGGCCGAGATCTGAGGATTGCGGTTCAAAGCCAGCCTGGGCAGAAAAGTCTGTGAGACTCTTATCTCCAATAAACCACCAGAAAACCAGAAGGGGTGCTGTGGCTCAAGTGGTAGAGCACTATCCTTGAGCTGAAGAGCTGAGGGTCAGTGCCCAGGCCCTGAATTCAAGACCCACAACTGACAAAAAAAAAGTGGGGTAAAGGAGCAAAATGTGGTTTCATGTGCTTCCCCTTGAGCTCCACAGAGCTAATTCCTGATACACCAAATACTGCCCCTGCCATTCCACAGCCTTCCACAGCCTTCCACAGCCCGACCCCTAGTCTCAGGTGCTTTTCTCTAAGATATTTAAACGTATTCACCCTCTCCTATGTGGTTTCACCCTTAAAGAACAGGACAGGATATACCGCTTTGAGGACTGGCAGAGTTGCGATACAGAAGCAGCAGCCTGTGCTGTGTCGTCTGGCACACATAGCAAAAGCGGGACCAGCAGCCATGGATGGCAGGTCCCCCGCGCCAAGCTTGAGAGGACATGGCTCTGCAGGCTCCAGTTTTCAGTGGAGATCACAATGGCTCTCTGTGTGTTACAGGCAGAAAAAGAATGACCACACAGCTAGGAGTCCAGGATTAGCAGAGAAGAGACTGCTTGGGTTCACTTCCCAGCCTCACCCTTAATACGGGTAAAACCTTAGTAAAGTGGTATTGCTTCTCTCCCTGCAGTGAAAAGAAGAAAACAGTATTGCCTTCGATGTAGGGTTATTTTGAGGAAACTGGGGGAAAGGTATGTAAGCGCCTGGAGCTCAGTTAGCTATGTTCCTTATTTCTATGGGCTCCAGAGGCTCTAGCCAGCTCCACAGTAGAGAACAGTAATGAACAGTCGGTCTCCCCACTTTGATTATTAAGGGACGTGGTTGGCTGATTGACTGGTTGCTCACCTTCTGTGTGTTTCGGGAATCAGTGAAGGGCTGGTCGGAACAGGTAACAGCGTTTAGGGAAAGAGGCGTGGAGATAGTCTTCTTGGGTATTTCAACTTGGCATTCTAGTCAGAATCTGAAAAATCGGTCAAAATTTGAGGCAGAAAAAAGCAACAGAAACAACAATAAATGATCAATTTACCTTTCTGCATTAAACAACAGAAAGAGAGACTGCGTCAGAAGGAAGCTAGCGTGACCACCCACTAGGACGCGGAGCGGCTTCTGTGCGCCTCCCCACAGCACCGTGCTGGCGCCCTTCCCCGGCGCATCTGCACACCGCTCCTGGTGCTGCGGCGAGAAGCGCTCACGAAGCGATGAGACACCGCAAGAGCATCTGATCACTGTTTCCCTTAGAAGCCCAGAGTCTGTGCTGTTATAGAACCAGAAGAAATGGCAAGCTTTTCCAACGTGTACTTAAGGAGACTGAGATGTGGCGTTTTCTGAGCCAAGCTGGATAAGCTAACCTCGCCCCTGCAGAGATGCATCTTCTGGGATCGCTCCAGCCCGGATCCCGGCAAAGCAGGATCCAGTCTGCCTGGAAAGCCACCCAAACTGTGTTGTGAAGAGGCCTTTTAGATCCTAGTCTAAGGAAATCACATTGCTACCGTCATTCGTGATGCAGAGAGAAAATGAAGTTGTGCGTGGGTGGAGCAGGGGAAAGCGAGGAAGATGAAGGATCAGAAGCTCCTTTCTGGTGGGTGGTTGGTACTGGAAGGTGGCATCAGCATTGAGCTAGCTGCATTCTCTGGTTTTTACGCCAGTTCTGACCGCCAGCCCGGCACTCACACCTGCGCTAAGACCCCTGAGTACGGCGTGGGGATCCTCGCAGGAGGCACGAGCAGCGGCCGTGGAGGAGCACAGGGCGGAGCAGCTGCTACCTGAAGCGCTGTGCAGATTCTGCAGGGTCAAGCGCTAGATTTCACAGTGCCCTGTACGGCTTTTAACCCAAGAACAGACAAATTAACATAAAACAAAAATGGGAAAAGGTGCGGCCAAGCAGAAGAGGACATCATCCCGGGCACAAGGGTAGCTTTTCAGCCCAAGGGTCGTCTTCTGAGCTCTTAAGTTGATGTCTACGTCTCAAGCCTGTGACAACTGCCTGGAAATTGCAAGCTTCTAAAATCTAAGTATAATGAGGAAGCCCATGGTACTAGCCGATCGCCCAGTGTTCACCGCAGGTGAAGAATCGAGTGTCCGGCCAGGAGCCCGGCTTCCTGCCCGGCAAAGCTGCTCAGCCTCTCGGCTGTCTCTCTCCACCTGAAGAGCTCCCATGTTGCCGAGGGAGAAACCGAAGAAACTAGAAAAAAGGAGTAAGTGTGTGGGTAGCATTGGATAGTCACTGTAAGGCAAAGAAGACGTGGGTACAGTTTGTCCTAAGTCCACAATTAGATGTAGCAGATGAGGCACAAGCATATTTTTAGTAATGATTTACCTATTGGCCTGAGATGATCTGTCTGTCTCTAGATTAGACTGCCTACAGCAGCAGAGTTTTTGTTTAAATTTCTGGCTGCTTGAAAGCTCTGTGTCTGTAGCCCCTTTGCTGAGCACATGGGCACAGCCCCTCAGTGTCCCCAAATCCTGACTGGCAGAGAATCCACAAGGCAGGGCCGCAGACTCGGTTCCCAGCGGCCAGACGGGACAGCATCCTAGATCCCAGATCAGTCTGTCTGTCCCGCTTGTCCCTCCTCACAAACAGCAAAGGGAAAGCCATGTCTGGCAAGACAAAACGCAGCCTCCTCCCAAGGGCCGATCCAAAGATCACCTGTCTTGTTTTACAAAATAGCTTAAATCATGTTTAGAAATTGCCAGGAGAAGGCTCCACTTGTTCCGTTCTTCTCTGCTCTTGTCCATGCTTGTCAGAAAAAAAAAAATCACCAAAGGGTAGGTGGGAAATAAAAGACTTCAGCAGATTCAGTAACCTACAAATTATTTCTGAATCACAGGGAGGGGGAAGGGAGGGAAGAGAAAGAGAGAAAGGCACGAAGTCCAGAGTGGTAGAAGCCATAACAGGCTCACAAGAACTTAAATGACTGCTGATGAACAGTAGCACAGCTGGAACTGCCTTCTGTCCATCTCAGAGCTCGGCCTCAGCCAGCTCTTCCTAGAAAGTGAGTTTCAAAGATGCTCCTGAGAAGCGTCTTTGTGAAAAAGCCACATGGACGAAGACACAGTTTGAGTCAAGCAAATGCAGCACCACTAAAATTATTTTCCTCCACGCGGGAGGGCCACAGAGGACCAAGGGCCAGGTAACTCCACGGTTAGGGGCCTCCATCAGATAGAGAAGTGAACTTCCATTCATCTTAGCCATTGCCTTCCAAAGGAGATCTGAAAGATAGGTAAAACAAGTGGTCAGACTGGTAGGACTGGAAAAGAACAGATTAACATTTAGCCTTTCTAAAATGCAAGTCACTTGAATGTATTTGCATGTTCCAGCTACCTGGAGGGCAGCTCAGCTCCTTGGAAACGGTTACTGATAAAGGAAAAGTTGGCTTAAAGGAAGGCTTCTTGAGAAGCCCATCTGGGAAGCCGGCGTCGCCAGCTGGGTTCACGGCTGCCCGTGGCTGGGATGCGCCGGCTGCCGGCCCCTGGTCAGAGGCACATTCCATTTCAGTTTTGCTTCTTCCCCAAGGAGTAGGCAGTCTACCAGATTCTCCCAGATCAAGATGTCATGGGGAAGTTGTGAGCTTAGGAGAGTTTTTTACATACACTTGAAGCCAACTCGGTAGCCTTTTCCAGGATTCTGAGCTAATAACGCGATATAAACACACTACATTGCATTGGGGAAATTTGTACAGTTAACAACTTGGTTGGGAATGTGGAGGCACCAAAATGACAATAACCACATCCCCGACCCACCAAAATGACAATAACCACATCCCCGACCCACCGCGAGGGGTCTGCCAGCAGGGCTGGGCCTGGCCACCTCTGTCCTCAGCCCTGGGATGCCTGGTGGGTTCCGGCCCCCGGGAGACCTTCCCCGTTTCTGCCTTCCCCTCTGACCCTGTGGTCTACAGCTCACATGAACTCTACACTTGGTCACACATTGTATCTATTACATATGTGTAAAGACATACTACATCTTAATCTGGAGAAAACTGAGCATCTCAGGCTTTATATGAATACAGCAGATAATGCCAGTAGATTAGATAAATTTAATCCATAAATTCTCTCTGTTCTCATATGATTTTCCAATGTTCTGCTCTCAAATATGTAATCTCTTCAAGGTTGATCCACCTATGCCGGTGGGCTTCACGTTTAATTGTTTCTGTGAAACTTGAAAGCTGGCAGAATGCACATGGCCCTTAGGTCGAGGCAGAAATTAACCTCGAGATAATTTGGCCTGAACAACCTATACGCATTCGCACTGTCACGCGTTCTGAGCATTTTATCAGATTCCACCCGTGCATGCATCGAAGCCCTCTACCTTTGAAAGGAAGAACAGCTGAAAAGAGATGGGACACCTCTTCCCAGATCCAGTGCGTTTCCAGAGCCTCCCCTGAACGTAGCATATCAAGCCAGAAGCCACACGTCTCCGTTAATGCTCTCCTTCATTGTTCTCTTTCAGAACTTTGTCCCACTTATAGGAAGCAAATGTATTTTTTATTGTTCACCTCAGTAATCTCTACAAGTCCGTCTTTCCAGAATGAGAGGTTAGTCTGTCAGACGCTGTGTGCAGGGAGGTGTGATCTGTGCAGATGCTCACGGGTGGGCACAGCCTTCAGTTCTGGCTTCTGTGTGGCAGGTACAGAACACGTGGTGCGTCTGCTTTGTCTGGCGAGGGACCAAGGCATTCAAAAGCTGTGCATCTTCGGTGCTTTATGTGAACTGTCACTTTTTTTCCCTTCTTGCCAACTTGGCTCTAGGTACAACCTTATTGCTTCATATACTTGACCATCACAGTGGTCGCAGCCCCACTGAGAGTCTGTTCCCTAAAGTCCTCGGGAAGCATTCTGTTTGCAGGGAGGCTATGATACAAACAAGATTTGAGGTCTATAAAAGAGATGGCGCCTCCAACACCATTAACCTTGCAAGTCTATAGTTCTCCCAAGACACACTCTTCCCTAATATAATCTTAGTGTGTAATCTTTGAGGACTTCACGCACTACAGAAGAAGGATTTTCCTTTAAAGACACGGTATTCCCCAAAAGGCAGAACTGTTTTAGATTTAGAAATGGAGTGATTTTCAGAATCTTTAGAGGACGCGTGGGCTGTGATCTCGCCGAGTGTGGAAGGCAGTGTGCTGGGCTTTGATTTAGGGAGCCGTGCTTTGGCCGGCCTGCCTGGAGCCTACGCGGCTCAGCAGCCAGTACCCTGCGCGCTCCAGCCCTTTGTGGTCAGACTGTTCTGAGTGACACCAGGACCGCGGATGCTGCTTCCTGAGAGTGTGGTTATCTTCCTCCGGCTCGTGGTGAAGACGCCGGCAACGGGCTGAGGGAGAAACTCCGAGAAGGAAGGCCGGCGCAGAGCGGCCGGCTTATAGCCAGCACCTTGGAGGAGAGCCGAGGCGTTAGACACGCGTGGAGATCGCGTGGGGGCGTGAGGCACGCGTGGGGATCGCGTGGGGGCGTGAGGCACGCGTGGGGATCGTGTGGGGATCGTGTGGGGATCGTGTGGGGGCGTGCCCCCCCCCGTGGCACCGTGCTTCCCACTCTGGTCCACGGGGCTGCTTGTCCGTGGTCCGTCCTGTCTCTGCCCGTCCTGGCAGCCTTACCCCCTCCATTCTGCTTTTCTCCTCTCGCCTCCCCTTCCCACAGACCCACGTCCCCCCGTCTCCCCAGCCACTCCGCAGGTGGTGGTTCTTTTACCTCTGCACGGCAGACACAGAACGTCTCCTGCCCGGCCCCGCGGCCTGAGCCCTGTCTCCTGCCCAGTCCCACGCGGCCTGAGCCCTGTCTCCTGCCCGGCCCCGCGGCCTGAGCCCTGTCTCCTGCCCGGCCCCGCGGCCTGAGCCCTGTCTCCTGCCCGGCCCCGCGGCCTGAGCCCTGTCTCCTGCCTGGTCCCACGCGGCCTGAGCCCTGTCTCCTGCCCGGCCCCGCGGCCTGAGCCCTGTCTCCTGCCCGGCCCC